CTCTGTCCAACAGCAGTTTGGCCAAGTCGTAATTAGCCACACTGACAGCACACATCAGAGGAGTCCATTCAAAGCCAAGCCTGGTCTCCACGTCCATGCCTGTCCAAAGGGATCAAATTAGGTGAAGCAATGAAATGGTTACATAAAAAGCGATTTGAAAAGCACATCTGAGCCTAATGCCCTCCAGCACACACATACATGCTGATTTCCTTGCTCAAATTTTATTCCGCTGAATTTCTGGCAAAACTGTTTACGTTGGGGTGACAAGTCACCATAAGCCTCCACCAACTCAACCTTTCAGACATCCTTTTCTACCACATTGGCCTATATACTACATATAACTAACCAATTGTAAGACAATTGGCCTCATGCAAGAACATTTTACATACTCATACTTTTTTCTGTGAGGCTCGCTCGTAACAGTGATTCAACTCAGATTCAACAAACTCTGGACAAACTTGTCATGGATTTATCTTTTCAACCTTATGCAGTCCAGCAATTTTAAATTGGTATAATCTACGCGCCTGAAATGACCACATAAGGCTACCTGTTCCAGTCCATTTGTGGGTGAGTTTCATTCACAAAAATGTTACCAAAAAGTAAAAAGAAGAAAATCACACACCGTGGATCTTCAAGGCCTGCTGTTTGAAATCGGCAATCAAATTTAGCAGTGTCAGCGGTTGTATTAGTGGTACTGTCTGACCAATTTCTCATGGTCTGGGGACCCCAGGTAGACTAAAGGCACATACATGAGCTTTTAATGGGGATCCTTTAACAAGGGCTAATCGACGGGTTGGGGGTTTTTGGACTAATGCTACAATATTGTGGGACAGTTGAGAGAAGTGTTAACGTTAAGCCTAATTTGAAGCCGACTAAATCACGACAGTAGTAGGTTGAATTCCAGTAACTGTTTTTTCATGTTGCTGTATGGAACCCGTTCTGCTCCTCGATCCTCGCCAGTATGTGTGTGTGTGTGTGTGTGTTGCTGTATGTGTATTTACTTGATAGCCATGTCCTGAAGGTAATAATAATGACATGGCAATGAAACTTTGATTAGCATCCAGCAGCAACCAAGTAGAGTGCAGTTGATTTAGTTAACCTAAAAATAACTTGCAGATTTTTGTTTGGATTGGTTAGAGAGTAAGTAGAGTCGTATGAGGGGTTTTCGCGTGAAGCCCATTTTAAGCAAACTATAAAGTTGCTATGAATAAAGAAATAAAAGCGATAAAAGCAGTGATCACAAGTGAACACAAACCCACACAGTCAAGAAATTAATGCTAAAGTGTCACACAGAAAATGAAGAGAGTACTTGCCATTGTCCAACAGCTGTTCAACAGTCTCAATGTCCCCTTTACTAATGGCTCTTTTCAACACCGACACATTGTCTTCTGCATGTGATACAAAAGCATCAGGATCCTGTGACAACAAAGCACAAAAAACAAATAATAAGAATACTAAAAGTCAAAAAAGACATGGAAATGGTGCCAAGTGAATGAGTGAGGCTACAAGGAATTAACGTCTTTTAAAAATTCGAAATTGTGAAATTATTGGTTATTATAATACTACAAACAAATGCTACACAGAAAATACTATACTAACTAATCTTAATACTGTCAATTAATTAATGAATAATTATAACAATAATCATAATAATAATAGTAAGTAATTAATTTAGGAGCCAAGAAACACTTATGTTTAGTATTGTTTCATCTACTGATTATTTTCATAATCTAACATTACATTATAAAATGTTCATGGAAATAGTGAAATATGCAAATGTATAATTTGTCCAATTAACAACCTAAAGAAATCAGAATGTCAGAAACTATGTTGGGAGTTTATTTTATGATTGTTAAGCCAACGCAGCTCCTGATACATTATTAATTTTGCACTTGATGGAGCTTCGTGGACTATTTAATACAGATGTATTGATGTAAAGTTAAAGTTAACTAGCGCTTTTAAAAGCATTTAGCTACAGCGAGTGAAGCTCGTGACGGGGGAAAAAGAGCGGCAGAGTGACGTCAGGTGTACTCTTCTCACGACAATGACGTAACGTCAACATTATCTGTATAAAGTGAACAAAGCTAGGTGAGCATAGGGAGTTTGTGGCAGCCTATACGGTCTCTATTTCGACACAAAACAAGCAATAAAGAGGAGCTCAAATATTTACTACAGCTACTTTAGTTAGCGTTAACCTATCTTTGCTACTGTTGTTGCTAGCTAACGTTGTCCTTCAGTTCTAGTAGCACAAACGAGTTTGAGAAAAGATGGACGTTTTCTTAAGTAACCTTAATGCAAGGAGACTTTCTATCCAAGTTCCCAATATCCCAGTCGTCACTGCTGGCGTCGCTTTCATCTCCAGCTGGAAAAGCATAATCCACGGAGCTGCCCATCATTCAGTTTAGCTGCTATGGAGTAAGATAGCTAACTTAAGTTACAGCACCGCAGGTCGATACCCCGCCACTGCTGTACAGAGGTGGTTCAACATGCACTTCACTGCGGCCCGTGGGTGGGCGGAGTTTGACCTCCAGTGAGGCCGATGTATATCACATTTCACACGCTGGCAGGTGAGTGGACCTCTTTATGTTATGCATTTTAATATTTTCTAATAAAACATTTAAAAATGCGCCACTATTGGATTGGTTTCATCTGTGGTGATTGAAAACATTATATGTGTAAGTAAGGTATTTTTAAAGCTCCTGCACACCTACAGTCCAGGTATTTCCACCTATGTGCTAGACCCTCTCTGGGCTGATCAATCACTTTCCTCTTAGGATTATTGCAACTTGTGATTTATCATTCATATATTAATAAATGGAGACACACTTAACTCCCAACATACTGAACATAGCCCCACCCAACTGAGCACGCCTCTAATCCTTTAGAACAAGTAAAAACAGCTGTGAGGATGAGCAAGGGCCTTCTAAGTATTTTATACTTGGCATGCTATCATTATACAGCAAGTATCTAATGTAAGTGATAAGTTAATTTTCTCAATCATTTAGTCCTGTTCTTACAGAATGTAAAAATAGAGGGAACTTGGATATACGCCATCATTATCTTATCCATGTGTAAGACTGACAGTCCCCCTGAGATATCATACTTTGGGGTAAAATCTTATCTGACTGCAAAGACAGTAAATGTCCAGCAGAGGTCACTCTTTCCTATAGGCAAATAACTTTCCTGTCCCTCAGCAATGACTCAAAAGTTCAGCAAAGTTGCAAGGAGTCAAGAATCTAACTTAATTCTCCTAAAGTCTCAATTCATTCAGTCTCTCAGTGACTCAGCTGCTGGTTAGTTATTGGGAGATTATACTATTACTACTATTATATACTATTCAGTATAAGATCAGGGATTAATTGTAACCTTTTCTTTTATTGTCTCAGTTAAATATTCTGTATATATATTTTTTATTGGCAATGTTCAAGTTTTATTTAAGCACATTTTGTGGGTTGCTTTTGTAACACAAACAAATACCTGTTCTACTTTAGAGCCAGAGCCTTCCTTCTGCTTATTTAACTTCTTTTGCTGCTTTCATATGTAATAAATTTGACTTACATATTGAATATTGTGATTCACGCTTGCCCTACAGACCAGTTATCCTTAATGTATCTTGTTTTGAATTGAGGATTGGCTCCCCTAGGTCTTTCCTATATCTAGAGTACACAAATGTGTGCATTCTTTGTGTCTGATACAGTTGCAGTTTGAGCAAGTTCAGTGCTACACAGTACACCAGTGTCACTGTGCAGAGTTTGATCATTTGTCCACCTCTGAGCTGAAATGAAACCTGCCCCACTGCTGTTTATGTCACTTTAACTTAAATAAAGACTGATGTAGATTTTCTCCCATTATACCATCTTTATTCATCAAGCAAAAACTTGATAGGATTATTACATTGGCTTTTTGCAGTGCATTTGTATTACTTGTTCTCTTGGGTAGCTGGGTAGTGCGTAGGGAAATCCTGACTTTATAGCCAGAAGGCTGCCCTGCTGCTTCAGTCCAACAGATAGTTATGGGGACCAATTGAGCATTTCTTCCAGCAGACCCACCCAGCCTGTGTGTCATTCTTAAAGTAAGTAACTGAAGTGTGCTGAAAGTGAAGAAGGCTTATTACCACATCTTCACATTTTATCTCTGTTCCCGTATGGAATGTCAGGAGGTTTTGATCCTCCCTCTCCTGAAACTGTACGTAACCTGAAACTGATAATAATAATAAAAACAGTTTCAAGTTCTTTTAGATGTCCCAGACAGTTTCTGATATTTTGTGAATGATAGTGAAGCAGCTGACTGGAGTGAAATAAGCAACAGCTTCTGGGATGAGTTTCTACTATAAAGCTTTTAGGCTCTGTTATGTTTATCTGGTCATTTATACTGACATAGAACAAAGAGGACACTTCTTACACACTGTATGAGAGACATTAAGACCAGGCCATGCTGTTCAGATGTTCTCTTTCATGTTAACACATGGGTGAGTGTTGTTTCATTTGACTGTCATCCACATGATCATATGTTTACCCATATAAAATATTTTCAGTTTATTTGGGAGGGGCAAGAGGCTTTTACAATTAAGTTGATTAAGGTTTTTCAAAGCTCCATCAGCACCACCTCCCAGTTTGGAAAATGTTTCCATTTTTTTTTAAATATCTGATTTGGAAACTATGCGAAGGGGTTGTGAAGTTATCTTGTGAACATTTTAGGAATGATTCTTTAGGCAAGACATATTTATTAGCACATTTTATATGCATACTTTCAAATAAAACTGGATTTGCTCTGATTGAAATTAAAGTGCATTAAAAAAAAAATGCCACAGCTCCCTCAGGCCACGCACTGGGAGACAGGAGTTGTATATGGATCAATATGTGACTGCGAAAGCGGCCTCATTGGGATCAGCTGGCTTTACTTCTTCTACTTGTTGCCACAATATGCAACCTGAGGCTCGTCGGCGTGGAAATGACGTGTGGAGACACGTTTTGGCGAGCTCATAAAGGATGGACTGTCCTCTCGCTGTCGCACTGAAGGAGAGAGCAAGACAACGGGAGCGGAAAGAGCGAGCGGGGCCAGAGAAGACCAGAGGATAGAGATACCGGTCTCGATTTGGGGGAGGAAGATAACTTAAGAGTGACATCATATCTACCGGAGGCACAAAGTGGAGGATAAAACAGGCGAGCACCCTATGTGTGTGGGGACGGAGCCACTCAGGGGACACACAGATGTGAGCGACGCGCACGAAAAACGACTCAGGTGCAGAGAACCCAAACTGGCGGCGCAATTATAGGATGCAGAAGTCACCAGTGGAAGATGCAAACTTCTTTTCCAAATATTTCTTCTGGTAAGACATGTTTCATCTACATCCTTTTATCTTTGGGTACTCGCGCACTTGACTCGCATGTGAGAAAATCATCACCAATCATCAGTTGGTAATTATTAGGCATGTTTGGAGCTTCCGAAAGACCATTGGTGAAGTTTTGTGAGGAAATAAAAGCCACATAAAACCTTGGAAACAAGTGTGATTGTGTTCTTGAGTGCTGTACACACTGTCGTGGACCGCTTTGGTGTCCTGTTTTCTTTCCAAATGAGATCACAACAATATATTTAACTCAAAGTGTCAGTGAGACGGTGGTTGTCGGCTTAAATTGCGTGCGTAAAATGCGCACCTGACTCGAAATGTGAGTTGTGCTCCGAAACCGATGAGGAACTTGTTCTAGAAAATTCTGTCAGGTGGGAGTGGATGCTTTTGATTTTTTGCGAAGTCCTTAAAAATTTGTGGAGTGTGGTCATTAAGATGAATAAAAACATGATTATTAACGATATTAACTTTACAGTTGAGATTTAAAGGGCGATTATATGGTAACTTTATTATATATTTTTGATAATCTTTATGAATATTCTCCCCCCAGTATGTATATATATAACTCTAACCCACTAATGAGAGGTCCCAAAGAAAGAAGCAGACCAAATAATCAGATGATGTAATTGTTACAGCCTTTCTTTAAATGGTTTAGTCACAGGGACTAGAAAACATCTGACTTTATGTCCCTTCTACAGCAGTTTACATTAAAGGTTCCAGACACTGTGCCTAATGCCAAAGGCTTAACTTGTAACCACACAAAAACAAATGCATTCAATATAATCTTTAACATATCTTTACCTAATTATATCATGTATTTTATATGTGTTTAATACATGATATGCCCACAGTGTCTTTCAGCTGGGGATAAAATAAAAAATGCATCCCAGTGCACTTTGAATACATACTGTACATATCAATAACAAATAGATTTTGTAGCCAATTTGTGCATATGTTGGACTGTAAATATTAGCATATTCCCAAATACATACATTTGTTTGCCTGGTTTCAAACAGCTGATATCCAACAATAGTTAAATCTGTGGTTTCCGTGCAGGTGGGCATCACCGCTGCTGAAGAAGGGCTTTACAAAGAAGTTGGAGCTGTCAGATGTGTATAAGGCTCCTTCCTTTGATCTGGCAGACAACCTCTCTGAGAGACTCGAAAGGTTTGTGCACTTCTGTAACTTACTGGGTTGTTTTTTTTTTCAGTGTTTTACGTCCCTGCATTCTGGCTGGTAATTGACCTGCTGTAGACCAGGTTCATAAAGAGATTTAGATTATGGCACAGGTCAGAGGTAGTGTTCTCCCTGATTCACTGATTGTCACTTTTGCACAGTGGGTTCCTCAGGTGTGATAGGGTTAAGAAGTCTTGTTTTTGATTAGTTTTTAAGCAAGTTGTCTGGCGTGCATAAGTTCCAACCATATTGGAATGCTGCATTATACCTAATTGATATGTAAATCAAATTGCCATTATGTAATACGTACTCTGAAATAAACATGAGCCTGTCACCTGTCTGGTAGTTAGAGATGATATAAAAGTGAGGAGTTTCATTTAAAGGAGCAGTTTTTGTCATTTACCCTAACCCCAAAGTTACTAGTACGGTGAACTGTTCTCTTTAAAAGGGCAGAAAAATCCATCCAGACCTATATCAACACCTTAAAATAAGCATTTATGGGTCCGTTCTATTGTTTGGTGTGGCACATTTCACATTAAGTGCTTGCTGAACACAAACAAGGTGATCTCTTAGCATATCTTCTGCATTTTCAATGGGGTGTGCCACCAGCACTAATCTAAACCATCAACAGTAAACATCCAATTTTTGGCATCAGTCCATCAGAATCAAAGACCAAAGGCCTCTTTGGACAGCCTCCGTTTGCACCAATTGTCAGTTAACCCCATTTGTTTTGAAGCTGGTTGTAGGGAATTCTAGGAAATGCATGAAATCACTGACTGACATGCATCTACAAATAATGAAAATACAGAAATTGTCTAGGTATGAAACTATTTACTGTATCAACTACAGCCATCTACCTAGAAGTCTGCATGCTCAATGTTTTTCATACGTGCCCTTTACATGTGTTTATAGTAGCCATTCTACCCTCAGACTAAGGTTAAAATATGGGCTGGCATTTAAACCGAGCTAGACACAAACCAAATGTGTGTGCCAAACAAACAACCAGGCAACAGATGATGGACAAGGTTAACTTTTCTCTCTGTACTTTCAATTGTCAATCTGCCTCGGTTCATCTTTTCTCATGTTATTTCCCTTTCTCACCAAGCAACTCCTTTTTTCTGTTTATGATCCTCTCTCTCTCTCTCTCTCTCTCTTCCTCTCCCTCATTCTTTTGTTAAATTGAATAAACCTTGCATTCGCTTGACTTTTATTCTCTCTTTCTCCTTTCTGTGACTGTCAGTTTTATACCCCTCTTTTCCCTGCCTCATTGAAATGGCAAATTTAAAATTCAAAATATTTTAACTTTAAAACTCTGTTTCTGATATCTGCAAATACTGTTTCTACTTTGTCTCTTTTTCTTTCATTTTTTTTTCTTTTTCCATCATTACGTTGCTCTCTTCTGTTAATTCCTTCCCTTCTTTCTCCTCTCCATCCTGTATTTTACTGAAGATTTTATAGTGAGCAAATGCCAAACCTTTGACAAAATTTTATTTGCTAACCCAAAGATTAAATAGTCCTGTGTCTTCTTTCTTTTATTTGTATTTTTTACCTTGCCTAACAACCACAGCAGTGTCCTACATTAGCCTTGCCTCTTGGGTTACCCAGGGGCCCACGTCACGCTGAATGGTGCCAGCAAGCCAGTTAATGTACATGGGTGTTAAAAAGTCGACCTTTAGAAAGGGCCCGATGCCCACCGAGTGATGAATGAGCAGTGGTGGGTGATTTTGCTTTCATTATTCTGATCAGGCAAACAGTGAAGGCTTCTGGGAATGTGAACTTTACCTTCCATTAAAGCATGCTGTGTACCTTCAGCCCCTTCATCACCCACTCAGTTCAATTGAATGAGCTTTTCTGGCATGGAAAGTATTTCATTATGCTGATATTGTAAACATCAAAACCTAGAAAGAAATATCAGTAAAGAAATATACAAAACATAGATTATAAAGTTAGCATTTTAAAAATACATTTCCTATAGAAAATAACCAATATAAGTGGTATTATTACAGTAAACAAATACTGTTTGCTTGCCTCTAACACTTTAGTGTAGTGCTAGCAATTGTCCCTCATGCGCCAACCATATTTCCCATTAGTTTTGTTAAATCATCTACAAGCTCTAGAAGAAGAACTAGAAGAAGATACATTTGATGAAAGTATTTTTTCATCCTGTTTGCCATTGACCACCACCAGCAACCCTGAGAGCTCCACTTCTGTTTGTTTTAAAGGGAAAAAAGACTGCTTCCTGTTTCGTGCTATAAAGCCATTTTTTTCAAATTTACCTGGTGGTGATTTATAACATTTATATATTGGCTGTGCACTATTGAAAATGATAACAAATTCACTTTGAACTGAGTGATATGAATCTGAGATGGTGTCCATCCATTTGTGTTTACACTGTTCCAGGGTGTGGGCATGACGTGGACCCTGACCAGGTCATCAGTGTTAACTCTAAACCAATGGGCAATTTAGACTTTCCATACGTCTATCAATTGTTGTTTAACTTCAGGATATCAATTGGGTAACACTTAAGTCTTTGTCCTCTTACTCTGTTTTTATCACTTTCTTCCTTGATGGTGTCCCCTCCGTCCTTGTCCACTTCTTGTCCCATCACTCACTGTTGAACTGGTCAGCCAAATCACCCTGGTTGTAAATGACCCTCAGAGAACAATGCAGCTACTTACTTTAGCTGTAACTGCTTGCCAGGGAAGTTGTGGGAAGTTAATCAACAACAGTGTTGTAACAAGGGCAACAAAACTTGAAGCCACAATAGCCGATATCCAATAATATGTGTAGAAAAATTTATAAAACTTGATGACCAACAGCATGAACATAAATGAAAATAAATTAATACATTTCAGCTTCTTACTTTGTCACTGAAGCACCTGCCAAAGTTAAGATAGGACTCTGGAAACCTCTGAAAACTGGACGGCTGGTTTGTTGCCAAAACAGTAATAGATAAATAGAACTTTGCTGGCATTTGGCTGGTGGATGTTATTCTCCTACCCTGCTTGCACTGCTGTTAAACTGTGTTGTAACTATGTCCTTGTTGTAGAGAATGGGACAGAGAGGTGGTCTCAGCCAAGAACCAGCCCAGGCTGATGAAAGCGCTGGCCCGCTGCTTCATTGGCCCGTTCGCCTTCTTTGGTGTCCTCCTCTACCTCGGGGTGAGTCTGTCGGTCTCTCTGGAGGAAACGGACATGCTGTAACTCAACTTAGAAAGTGTGGTGTTAAGTCTGTCATAATGGATCATACTTGTACCATTGAGTTACCGAGGTACAGTTGTCATTCTTATTTTATGCTCATCAAACAACACAAACTACAGGTATGAATAAATACAGTATCAGGTAATGTCGAGCTCCACCTGTATGTGTCTGTTGGTGTGGAGTGGTGAGGGCCTATGGAGCTACAATGCCCTGATGCACACAAACATCACAAGCATGTCGCACCATAGTGTCGGAAACCATCTCACTGTCCAGGATTTACAGGAAGGTGGTCGCGTCACTTAGTACAGTTGTAGGTGGTTGTCATGACAACAAGAATGCCTGTTAGATGTTAAGAGGCTATGTGAGAAAACAGAAACGTTTTAGAGAAGAAGACAAAAGAGTTTGTGGTTGATTAAGGTTCTTAGATATTTAACACAATCTAACTTATGTTACAGTTTAATGTCAAATTGTGATATTGACACTGATGTCCTCTTATATTGGCCATCTTGGTTAGCTGGACATGTTCTGATCCAGATATGAATCCATACATTTTGGTGTCCAAAAAATGGTGTGACATTGGGTGTTATGTAACATTTTTAAAAAAATATATTTTTATATACTACAGCACTGAATTATCAAAGATATAAATTGAAATTTCAAAATTATTGGAAATATTAGGATTATGCACCCTAGCAGGGGTATGCATTAGTGATATCTATTTTTAAGCTAGACACCTGAAAGTTAGGACACCAAACAAGCTGACTGATTTGTGTTTCTCAACCAGAAAGAAAAATGTAAAAGTCAATCAGATCAGTTAATCTCTTCTCTTATTGTCACATCTTTTGGTGTAGGAGGCTTCCAAGACAGTGCAGCCACAGCTTCTGGGTCGCATCATTGCCTCCTTCGACCCGTTCCACGCTCCGGAGCGGAGCCAGGGTTACTTCCTGGCCCTCGGTCTCTGCCTTCTCTTCACCGCCCGCTTCCTCCTGCTGCAACCTGCCATCTTTGGCCTGCATCACCTGGGCATGCAGATCCGCATCGCCCTTTTCAGTCTTATATACAAGAAGGTAAGGAGAGGACAGGGTATACTTATGAAACTGGGACTTAGTTGTTTCTTTATTTGTGTAAAACCTCACCTGGTTTTCACAGGATGGTCGATTTTCCAACCTCATTTCCTTTTTTAAGCTCTCTGTCCAAAGATATGTCTAAAAGGTACAAACAATAATATTTAATTATTTATTATTTTATTATCTTTATTATTTAAATTGCAACATAGTGAGGGTAAAAAGTATAATATTTGCCTCTGAAAGGTTAATTAGAAAATTTCCAAAAACATGTAGCCAGTGGCACTGTGGGCCTTTTTCTCTGATTATACTTGAATGAAACACTCGCTACTTAAAGTCACTGCTGGAACAACCAGTTGTTGGAACAAAACAAAACCACCTAACTGATAAGATGGTAAGACAGTTGCATGTGAGCATTTGTTTGCTTTTTTCTTTCCATTGTTTTTAAGATTGGACAGAATAATCAACTGAATGCTTGTTTAGCATTCGTGACCAGAAAGCATCTCATATGAGGAAGTCCAATAGTGGTGATCCACAGGCAGCTGAGGGGGGTGTGGCAGCCTGGTGTCAAATCATGGCCACGTGTCACTGACTTCCTCTCAACCAATTCACTTTCACCCTTTCTGCTTCAACTGACCCTAACCTTTGACCTTTTCAGACCCTAAAGCTGTCCAGTCGAGTCTTGGACAAGATCAGCACTGGTCAGCTGGTCAGTCTGATGTCCGCCCACCTCAACAAGCTGGATGAGGTGAGAAAACCAAAGTATTTTGTCTACTTCAACTTTTAAATCAGGTTTCTTTTTTTATTTTACTATCCCACAAACCACTAATCTGGCAATTTGGATGCTCCAAATCCAAATGCAAGGTACCTCTCGTACACTGTCTAGTGCCAGTGTTTGGTTTGTCCCTTCTAGGCTACTGCGGCAAACTCCATATCTGTAGATATAAAAGGCTCATTCTAAGGTAAAAGAAACATAACGATTCCTATATTCAGGTGATTATACACATATTAAAACATAGATATGAATATTATATTACATTTCTGCCAATAGATCCTCCTACATGTCACACACTGGATCTTTAAATCAAAGGAACAGTACTGTAGTTTTACACTCATAATTTGCTGGGAGAAAGTTGTTGTCTCCACAGGCAGGATGAGGCACAAGAGAACTGACAGTTCACACCCTCACTGACTTCAGTGTGTCTGCTTCATTACCCCACACCTTCATACTGAGGGTCAATTACATGACAATAGATCTGGAACAATACACACACATATACCATGCAAATAAACACACACAATTAGGTGTGTGTGCCTAAACAAAGTATTCTGTAACTGTAAATCAGTGTTGAAAAACAAAATTCAATGCAAGACAACATAGCTTGTGTAGGTGTGTGTGTGTAGACTGAACTCAGTCTCGCCTTGGGTCTCACTGAGGCGTTGAATTTGGAAACACTCTGACACATCACAACCTGCTTTGAGACAATTATCACCTGGCTTGGATGTGGCTTGGCCAATGCACCGCTCTCTCCTAATAATGACTAGTTGGGGTTACCTAGGCTTTTCGTGTGTGTGTGTGTGTGTGTGTGTGTGTGTGTGTGTGTGTGTGTGTGTGTGTGTGTGTTTGAGTTGATTCCTTTGTAAGTGAGTAGATGGATAAGAGCTTATTCAGGTGAGAGCTGACAGTTTCTCACTTACAGTACAGCTGAGGCTCAAATGTCTGAATGAAAGAATTCCTCTAAACATAAAGTTTGTTTGATACATTCACTCTTCTATCTTTATTTCTTTCTTGACTAATTCTGTCTAGTTGTCAGTCATTGTAATAATGCATTAATTAATTCAAATATGTGTAGGGAATGGAGAATTTACATTAAGTAATCCTGCCAAAATGCCATCTGGTTAACCCTGCACTCTGACCTCACTGAGGTAAATAAAGGTGTAGCTGAATGTGTGCCACAGTGGTTGAGAGGGCTTTACTTTTACAGTAGGACCAGGTTCAAATATTTGACATTCTTAAAGTAATACTCATACAGAATGTTTTAGTGTTGCATACTGACTCCTCTAGTCAGCTTGGATTCACAGCAGTTCCAAATTATTCTTATGGTGACCCAATTCAGCAGAAAAGTAATTGAAGTAACATAGTTATACACGTCACATTTAGGTGCCAGACATTATGTAATAGTCTAGCATAGCATAATCCACTTGCAATACTATACCCAAACTGCATGTTTTCACAAAAATATGGCGAAATATGTATTTGAGTGGATGATAGTATTCCTTGAATCTGATCTTTAACCTCTTTGTGGTCAGGAGCAAAACAACATTTCCAGTATTGCTCCTGCAATCAAGCCATATCCCAATGTGTACCCAATGTACACTAATGTCATCATTGTGTACTGTGTATGTTTATTCCAGAGCTTGGGTCTGGCCCACTTTGTATGGATCACCCCTCTGCAGTGTATATTGTGTGTGGGTCTGATCTGGGAGCTGATCGAGGTGAACGGCTTTTGTGCTCTGGCAGCTTTGACTCTGCTGGGCATCATCCAGGCTTGGCTCAGCCAGAAGATGGGACCACACCGGTGAGCAAACCACACATCCTCTCATAGTATAGAACATATATCAGTGTCAGTATATGTAATCTCTGTATGTGTGTGTGTGTGTACACTTGCCTGTGTATCTTCGTTTACATTTGTTTCAGTGTGTACATCATTGACAGTATATATTAGGTGGACATACAGAAATCCGCTTCTATGCATATATGATGCTGCCATAAGTTGGTAAAAAAAAACTGTATCCTGTAAACAGGATGAAGCGTGCAGGGATGATCAACCGCCGCCTGGCTCTCACCTCAGAGATTGTGGAGAACATCCACTCTGTGAAGGCGTATGGTTGGGAGGACGTGATGGAGACCATCATCAAGAACATCAGACAGTAAGAGACCAAAACACATAACAAAGGGAACATTTCCTACTGCTTTTTTTGATTGTTTTAATACCCAAGTTTAGAATAGTTTAGTCATGTTTGCTTCATGCTGACTGCTCTGGTCATACGTAAGTCTGCATACTGTGTACAACTCCTCATCTTTTAAGTCATCCATCTCTCTAGTATCTTTTCATATACTATCTGTGAATTGGTGATATAGATTGAGTCAGCCGACATCTGTTTCAAAAGGCTTTGACTGAACAGTAGAAATGGAATCAACCTGGTGCTAAAACTGAGAGAGAGATGTTAAAACATGTGGTCAACCAGCAGAGCCACGCTGGCGTCACTGGTGGCTGCCAGAATCCGGATCACAGTAATTGACAAGTACAATAAACGTACGGGAAAGAGTTTTGGTGTCATGGTGCAGAAATATGTTGATAAGTATCAGAGATAACACAGAGCCACCAAGACTTCACATTTAATTGATAATAGCAGCATGAAAAACTAACATGCTGTTAACCAAAACCTTTTTGGGTGTTGGTTTTTCTTTGAAAGCAAAAGACAATTCCTCTTAGTCTGAGAATTCAGGCATTAAGTCTATACGAAGTCACTGAAATCAATAATATGACCTGAATAACAATGTTTTTTACTTTCCCAACCTCCTCAGGGACGAGATGACGCTGACAAGGAAGATTGGTTCTCTGCGGTATTTCTACAGCGCCTCGTACTTCTTTTCCGCCATCTTGGTCATTGTATCTGCCATTGTACCACACGCACTCAGTAAAGGAATCATCCTGCGCCGTATCTTCACCACAGCCTCCTACTGCATGGTGCTGCGTATGACACTGACTCGCCAGCTGCCAGGATCCATCCAGATGTGGTACGACACGCTCGCACTGGTCAAGAAGATCGAGGTAGGTTTCTGAGGGGGTATGCCTGCTAGAAATGATCATCAACAGATTAAATATGGCTTCCAACAGCTAATAACGATTGAGCAGTACATAATTAATGTATATTTAATACTGATGTACCTGCCTGTGTTTTGTTTTCTCTAGGAATTCCTGATGAAGGAAGAATACAGAGTGCTGGAGTACAACCTAACCACCACCGAAGTGGAGCTGGTCAACGTGTCTGCATCTTGGGACGAGGTTTGTTCATCTCTGTGTGCCAAAACTGAATGTTAGTGTCACTCAGCAGTTATACAAAGTACTGTATGTACCAGTTGAGAACATTACTGCCTAAACTCGAGTAACACCAAAAATGAAAACACTAACATTCCCAAATCTCAGTGTGGCTTGATTGGATGCTATATCAAGAAGGAAATATAGCCTCCTTGGATCTGTTGATTGCAAACAAAAGTCTTACGTCTTTAAGTCTTTAAGTCTTTTATTTAGGTGCCATGCTCACATCATACCCTCTGATATGGGTGGCTTAAGGTGCAGTCCTGCTGAAAACACCTTGGAAACCGATCCCTCTGGCTTATACAAATAAGATATATGTTTGTCCAACTGAGAGTACTGTAACATATTAAATACTATAAGCTGATAAATCATTATCTGACTTACAAATGTCGATATTGGTACTGGTAACAATCCAGTATTGAAGAGGCTAGTACATTTACTGTAAGAGAGCAAGGCATGTATTACAGGTATAATGGTTAATTCCTCGCCATCACTGTGAGTGGGTAGTATAATCTTATCTATAGGCAGGGGCTGTAAACTTAGTCTAACAGGTGTGATTCATTGACCACCCAATACCGTGAGAAAACCATCGTCCAACTGTGTTTTTTTCCGTCACTTTGCATAATTGATTATCCCAGTGTCGTCACCATGCTTTGCCTTTGCTGGGAACACTCTGAATCTCCCTATTGAGATTCAGAGTTGTTCATCACCTAATTCCCAGATTCTCCTCTTGCCTTCTCCTCTTCCTGGAATGTGCCATTCGCAGATGAATGGGAGGGGTGTTGCCTTTCTTTACTGCCGACAGCACGTACGTCAGTTCATTAGAATGAGAATCACACGGACAAACGTATACGAACCACAGCAAGTCCCGGCACTAGAGGAACGGTGAACCATAAAATGTCACAGGGGTCAGTCATTAAGCTGGCGAGTCAAGCAGAGTTCCCCTTTTCTAACAGTGAGATGTGTCACCCGTTAATCTTTACAGAGGCAGTGACAGATGAGGTGAAATGAGGCCATTGTAAGACTTTGGGAGTCTTCTTCTGTCTTCGGAGAATCTCTTGTTTCTCACAGCAGTTTGACCTGGTGCTACTGTCTGAAGGCACAGCATGACAGACACACTAATTCAGCCCTGAAGCAGGCAGTTATGTAAACTAAAGGAAAAACAATAATCAACTGCATGCCATGCACACTTACAAGCACAGAATGATGGCTACTTAAGCATAGTATGGAATAGTATTTTAAAGTATAGTGTAGTGTATTGTAAAAGTATACTGTTGCACCAAAGCATGTGGCACTGTACCCTAGTATAGTAGAATATGGAATAATATAGCACATTGTAGTACAGTGAAGTATTATAATATGTATAATGAACTACTGTATAGTTGAGGCTAGTTGTTTTTATTATGTACACTATTAGAGATCATGTTAAATCTCTGTAATAAAAATCAAGTGTGGATTTCTGATTATACAAATGTCATTATTATTTTTTGTACATAAAAAAACAAACCAAACAAAACATGGAGAAATGGTTAAATATGAACTTATGCTAATATGATCATTTTATACTATTCCCCTTGTACTTATTACTGTTACTGGAAGCATATTCTGAGCTGTTTGTTTTGAACAGTGTAGACTTGCTAACCTGATTTCGCCAAATGATTTGTTACACAGAACTTGATACATCTTTGGTGTTTATTCCAACAGTGAAGAATGATTTTGAATTGTAGGGCATTGGCGAGCTGTTTGAGAAGATCAAGCAGGAGAACAAAGCAAACGGACACCTGAACGGTGACGCCGGCCTCTTCTTCACTAACCTGTACGTCACACCTGTTCTCAAAAACATCAGCCTGTACCTGGAGAAGGGAAAAATGCTGGCGGTGGCTGGATCCACTGGCTCAGGGAAGGTAGGTCAAAGAAATCATCTCATCCAAATGTGAGTGTTTATGAAGACTATGCTGACTCTGCAAGTGCTACTGAATCCATCTACTGGTCAAAGTGCCCTCAAGCAAGGCATGTTGTACATGTTGACTCATTGCAGGCTGCTACAACTACCTTTTGCCTGAGAATAAAAATGTAGCACAAAAAAGTGTGACCAGTTTTTTCCCTGTTTATACCAGAGCTCCCTGCTCATGATGATCCTGGGAGAGTTGGTGCCTTCAGAGGGTAAAATCAGACACAGCGGTCGCATCTCCTTCTCACCACAGACCTCCTGGATCATACCGGGGACAATACGAGACAACATCTTGTTTGGCCTGACCTATGACGAGTACCGCTACACCTCCGTCATCAAGGCCTGCCAGCTGGAGGAGGTAACTTCACTTTATCATACTATACATTATTTTTTCCTTCCCTGCTTCTTCACACTTTGTGACGTGCAGATGAAGTGGATTTATGTAGGTGTGTGTAACCTGGAGCACTATTACTCATGCAAACTACACAGATCGTCTGTTTGTTCCAAACATAAACACTTCTTTAGTAGTAGAAGATTTGTGGTAAATTGGTGCATTTGGTCAATGTTTTCACCCAGGTAGCAATGTTCTCAACCCTCTCAAAACACTTCAGGATAATTTACTGAGCATTCTAGTCAATATGGTCAGGGAACCTCAAACATAAAATACCCATATTGTGCTGAAAACATAAGCATTTGGAACATGTGAGTGTTCAAAACATAGAAACAAACTATGTTTAGCCGTACTTTCAGAAAATGTGGGTGTTTGGAACATAATAAGAATATGGAAAAACAATGGAAGTGATCACACTATAGTAACAGTTTTTGTGCCGCCATGAAAACTCCACTCAAAGCTTACCACAGCCACTCTTCTCAATGGAAAAAGTACAAACAAGTGTCAGTGAGAATATGTTGAGTCACTATAAATCAGCGACACAGAGTAGCAACATGTATTGCTACTTCAGTTGCAAACTTTTCCAGCTTCCTCCTCAAGTCCTCTTCTCTTTCATTGGACTGATGCTCTCTGCTCAGTTGTCTGTTTGGAGCCTCTGCTCAGGTTTCCCAAGTCCACATTTACACCCATTATGTCCCTCACACACACAAAGACACACATGTTTGCACGTTCTCTGCCTCTTACACTGATACACGTACACACGCACTCGCACTCTCATAAGCCTCAGTGTTGAGTGACGGCCCCTCAGCAGAATAATGTCTCCTCTGTTGCCATGGAAATCTCTCGTTATATCACTGGGATGGAATATGAGCTTGTTGGTTCCCAGTGACAGACGTTGCAATACAGACGAGCTGTATGGACAAACCATCAGCTCTGTGGGCTTGTTAGGTCTCTGATTAAATATTAACTTATCAAATATTTTTTACATTGATGAGCATACAAACATGATGTTACATACATGAAAGTGAAGTAGGTGTTTATTATGATTAACTTGTTTTATATTTTTGTATATACTGTATATACACTGCTGTACATATATACATAAATTATTTAAATTTCAACATCCCAAATTCAGAAATTATGACATCTGATAGTCATAGGGTATAAAATAAGTCATTATTTCTGTGAATATATAGGAATAAATAATGTAGCACATTACAGTGACAAAGTATATTAAATAATGAACTGTTGCATCCATCTGAACTACCGCAACCATTTAAAAAATGTCCATAATCAAATTTTTTGAATAATTTTTGTAACTTATGTAAATATATAGTTTATACTGACAATCGTGTGACATTTCCTTATTATGTTGATATTTTAAATACACCGAGGGTGACACCATCATATTTATTTACTACCACGCCCCATCTCCTGTGGCACTGACGGTGCCTCAATGGTTTTGACAAAAACACAACATGGTGTCACAGCAAACAAAGCTAGCATGCAATATTGACCTCTCTGTAAAAAACAACCTCCATTTTGTCTTTGAGGAGAGGCGTCAAACTCTGGTAGAAGCAGCATGAAGAGGTGTCATCAGTCCTGCTTTGTACTGTGTGTAAATGACAAATGACTTCTGATTGTGGGTGTTGAGGCAGACAAACCGGAGAGACTATGCCTCTGAAGTATTGTTAAAAGAGCCTTTAACAATGACACAGTGTTAAAAAGTAGCTTACCTTCACACAGTGTTGGGGCTGATGCATTGTTTGAAGTAGTCAGTTGTGGTTACCAGCCAAGTTTAAGATATTAATGTCTCTCTTAAATTGGCTATAGGATTTAGTGACATCTAGTGGTGAAGTTGCAGATTACAATAATATGAATACAGCTCAGCCTTCCAAGCGTGTAGGAGAAACTACAGTGGCTGTGATACTCGGGAAAGACCCTATCGAGAACCAGTGTTTGGTTTATCTTTTCTGGGCTCCTGTAGAAACATGGCAGTTCAACATGGCGGCCTAAGTAGAAGAGGACCTGCTCCCTCTGTAGATAAAAACAGCTCATTGTAAGGTAACGAAAACACAATGATTCTTATTTTCAGGTTATTATGTATATATATTATATATATTATAGTTTTAGTCTTTCCTGTGTAAGACCTGTAAATCAATTTGATAGTGATGACAGGTTTAAATCTTAAGTTTTTTTTACCAAACACACCAATTGTGCCTTTGAAAAAAACACTTGTCTGTGTCTGCCAAATTACTTTAAATATGAATACATGATATGAATAGTTTTCAACTGATCATTAATAGATGCTAGGCAGCATAAGCTCTGTAGTAGCCAATCCAAATAACATAAAAGCATTTGAAGGTTACCTGTAGCTTTTTAGAAGTACAAATTCTGAACATTAATTCTCGATGCATTGTCTCACCAATCACTTCAAGACGCTCAAAATTTCTTAAGAAGAGGAGCGAAGGTTTACTCTGTACTTTATGCTATAGGAAAAAAAATCCCAAGGCAACCCTGTCAGACAGGAGTGACAACTAGAGTAGATTTCTCCAGACAGAGACAAGGCGTTTAGTGGGCTTGTGACTGCAATTCCTCACTATTGTTGCCCCCTGAAGCACCAGACAGACTGCGGTGGGTGGTCTTTCCTCTGTAAACTCATCATTTGCCTCCAGCCTCTAGCTGCTGGCGCGTCAGGTGCTTTTTGTTCACAGCGAGACACACAACATGTCTTTTTACTGTGGTGCCTTATTTAACAAGCTGTTAAACAACATGTTAACTTGATTCCCTATGCGCTGCTGTCAGGACAGCGGAAGCTGCCGTTAAAAAGGTAGGACGTTTTAACGATGATAAACTTGTGCTGTCACTTCATCTTTATTGGTGTGGGCATCTATTTTCATTATTAATTACCACCGAACACAACTATATGTCTCTACTTGTGACATCCCTCATGTGTCTATCCCAACTGTGGTTTGTGCTTTTTGTGTGGTTTGAACTTTGACAATGAATCTGTTAGCCTATGATCATGAATTAATTTGATTACTAGGTAAAAGTCATGTATACTATAAAATACATCTTTTGTGCATATTAGTTAAAGATTTTATTAGGATCACTAAATATTATTTTAATGTTTAATGTGCTTGAAATAGTCAGGGGCGGATCTGAAGAAATATTCTCAGAGGGTGGCATTAAGACTTTAGGGGGCGGCAGAAATATATGTTGATTCAATTGAAAACAATCACATATGTCAATATTTGCTTGAAAAGGCCCAAATTAAGACATTTTAATTTTAAAAAATTACATTATTGTGGCAAGAAATATCTAAGTGTGGAAAATCAAAATCTTAAGACAGTTTTCCAAATACGTGGACTTTTTCATTGAACTTAAACCTATCACTTAGTCTAAAATGTTATCATAGCAGATCAGTGAATTCTCGTTTTTAAATGTGTTACTTTTAAATCAATGTGTTCAATTTGACAGCATTTGACACCAAACCAGGAGCTAGGGTGGGCAGGCATTTCTTAGGGGTGGCAACATCCACCCCATTCCACCCCTCTAGATCTGACCCTGGAAACAGCAATTGCCCATACGAAACAATTGTATATTTCTTCTTTTTTTTTTTTTTTTTGTTAAATTTTCTGGTGAAAACCCTGTTTTCCCTTTGACTGCATGGTGCCAAAATTCAGTGCCGTTTCAAGCTACCACTGGTGTTTTCCATTGAGAAACTATTGTATTTCCTTGCATAGAACACATTGGAAAATCACCAGATCCCAAAAACAACTATTACTAACCAATAACTAACACGTTGTGTAGCAACACAAATGTTACAAGGGGCTTTGCAGCAATTTTCTGCCCCTAAAAAGAGTTGAGGGTGGGCAGGGAAAAGTGTGTTAGGTAGGGTGATAGTCGGCACAAGGACTGTGCAAGGACAACAGGCCCACATACAGTGCAAAGGGGACAGTTCAAGATGTCACACTTCAACTATTCAAGTGGTAAAAGTGGCATGAGACACAAACAAAGCTTTAGTTTTCCTGTTTCAATGTCCCAGCCTTGCATATTGCAAACATAACATTTCATCTGCTAGACGTATCCATGTTTTTAACATTCAAGACCATCAACTTTTGTCCCAGTGGCCTAATATTAATGTTGTGTTTTTATTCTGTATTATAAGTTATCAGAATGAGTAGATAACATTTGAGTTAACTCATTGACCTAGTTTGAGTAAGTGTAGCATTTAGCACAGTGGAGTGCACCTTGCACCCTGTTTATTTAATTTAAGCGTTTAACTAATATACTAAGTACAGTGTGCAATTAATTAAATTAAATCTGTCCTCACTGTTTTTGTCCTTTCGTCAAGCTCTCTGCTGTCACACACTCCCTCTTGTTGTTGTATAAGAGGTGATCATTGCATGGATGCGTTTGACCCGCTGACCCCTCGTTTTCCTCTCTAGGACTTTGCCTTGCTGCCTGAGAAAGACAAGACGCACCTCATCGAAGGAGGGGTGACCCTCAGCGGCGGTCAAAGGGCACGTCTTGGCCTGGCCAGGTACTTTCTGTCACACCTGAGCATCTGTCAGCATGCCAGACCACCTCTGCTGATTAGTCATAATTACGGCCTTTGTCCAACCATTATAGGAACATGTTGTACAGAGGACACAAATAGAACATGTTTTAAGATTTGAGTCATACTTCTAATTGATGAAGAGGTCTGGAGAGGTAAATATAGCAAGCAGTGGGTTGTTTTTAGAGATCATCAAGAATAGAATCTGCAATATGATATGGTTCAATAAGAAATGGGAATTTAATTGCCTTTGTAGTTTAAGAAGGAGTTCAAAGGGACAGAATATCAGCCGCTCCACAGCGCATGGATCAAAGGGAGCAGCTCAAATAAATGACTGAAGAATACACCAAACAACATTTTTTTCCTTAAAAAACCCAACACATGTTCACTTCTGCAACCTTTATCTACATCAGAGGTCTGCATACACACTGTAGCTCACAATGAATACATTTAAAACATCAACCATAAACTAATCAGTGTTATTAATATTATTATTATCCAAGGTAAGAGGTCCCAAATAAAATGTCTATTAAATAATAAGTATCTCTGATTTGACGTCTTTGGCAATGCTTCAAGGTTCAGTGTTGGTTCCCAACAGTGTAAAGGATCGAGCCTCTTCTGTAAATAGTCGTCACCTTCCAAAGCCAACAACCATTACCTGTCATTCTTATCTGTCTGTCTGCACGCAGTACACTGCTTTATGGTCTCACGTTTTAATGAGTGCTTTCTACAGCCCCAGCAGAGCTTTATTACTCCATTAAATCTTTGTGTAGATTACAACAGTCAGACACTCTCATATTCCCATGCATTATTTATTGGTTTAGTGTCCTGGCATCAATTTGTCGCCATTCGTTGGTTTTTGGTTTCTGCTATCAGTGTAATCAGTGTAATATTCACTGGAAGTGATTTATCCCCACGGGGACCTGACTTCCTCATTTACACTATTTTGATTGAGTTTTCCTCTCTTTCTGTTTTTCTTATATTCTCTTTTCTCTTACCCTGACATTTTTAGTTTTCTCAGCACATGTCATTATTTCTCACACTTTCTCATACATTTGCTTCACCTTTCCCTCTGACTCACTATGTGTGTTTTTATACCTCAGGGCTGTGTATAAAGATGCAGACCTCTACCTGCTGGATGCACCTTTCACCCACCTGGACATCGTGACAGAGAAAGAGATCTTTGAGAAGTGAGTATCCCAACAGAGAGTCTTTCATGTTGAGGAGGTGGGGGTGGTTGAGCTAAAGTTTAAGTTCAAGGTCAAGGTTAGCTCTTGTTGTGTCAGACATGCTGGGGTTGACTTTGGTGAGTAGTGAGTGCTTCATCATACTGTAACCTTCACAGGAAATGGGCTTTTTTTTCAAGTCGGGGGGGGGATTATCCTTTGATGAAATGTGGACTTTGGCAATCTTTCAAAGGAGAAAATCAGGAAAAATCATTGCTGAATAAACATTTTTGTTATGTAGTCAAACTCTGAACATGGTAATAAACACATACAGCAGCTTGTTAAGTTTGAGTGCTAGTTATTCCTTGAAGACTTGATTTGTTCTTTTTTTTAAATAAGCAGCAGTTCTTTTGTTTGACAGTAAAGCTTGGAGAAATATATAATAGTTGACACATAATATATGATATTTATAAATATATATATCTTTACAATCTCCATTTTCTGTATCACTGCACAGATGCGTCTGTAAACTCATGGCCTCCAAGACACGTATTGTGGTCACCAGCAAGATGGAGCATCTCAAACGAGCAGACAAAATCCTCCTGCTGCACAACGGAGACTGCTACTTCTACGGCACCTTCTCAGAGCTGCAGGCCAAGCGGCCTGACTTCAGCTCCCTCCTCCTCGGCCTGGAAGCTTATGACAACATCAACGCAGAGCGACGTAGCTCCATCCTCACAGAAACTCTACGCAGGGTATCCATTGACGAAACCGCTGTCTTCCGAGGCCCAGAGTCAATTCGCCAGTCATTCCGCCAGCCACCACCTCCAATAACCGTCTCCGGATCCCAAGGCCATCCTGGAGGTGATGGCTACCCAGAAAAACGCAAACAGTCCCTCATCCTCAGTCCCTTGGCAGCTGCTCGCAAATTCTCCTTCATCGGGAACTCCCAACAAACTGCAAATACTACCCAGTCCATGACAATGGAGGACGGGGTTCGTGAACTTTCTGAAAGGAAATTCTCTGTCGTACCTGAGGATGATCAAGTAGAGGAGGTGCTCCCCAGGGGGAACATGTACCATCATGGGTTGCAGCACCTCAACGGGCAGCGGCGCCAGTCTGTCCTGGCGTTCATCACCAACTCTCAGGGCCAGGAGCGCCGAGAGCAGATACAGTCTTCCTTCAGGAAAAAGCTGTCAATCACACCACAGTGCGACCTGGCGTCTGAGCTGGACATTTACGCCCGCCGCCTGTCCAAGGACAGCGTTTATGATATTAGTGAGGAAGTGGATGAAGAAGACATGGAGGTAGAGATTTGTTAGAGCCTTCTTCAAGGCATATTAGAGTACATGATACATTTTTATGTTTAGACATCCAAGAATCTGTTTTCTTTACCTTCATTTTCAAGATCTTGTTAATACCCTCAAAATGTACTTGATTTTGTCTCCAATTAAGGCTTTGCTGGATATACAGAGTAGCTGATTTTAGTTGGGGTCTGTATGGTGACATTTCTGTTTTCTTCACAGCAATGCTTTGCAGATGAACGTGAGAACATCTTTGAAACTACCTCATGGAGCACTTATCTACGCTACATCACCACCAACAGGAGCTTAGTCTACGTCCTAATTTTCATCGTCTTTGTCTTCATCATTGAGGTTAAAATCATTACAATTTTTATTTATTTATTTATTTATTTATAAGATTATTTATAAGAACAAATGTTTCTGTTTTTTTCCACCAATAGGTTGCTGGTTCGGTCATTGGCATTTTCCTCATTACAGAGTAAGTGTCATGTTTCATGTTCCTTGAGAGACACTGAGACTAAAACAGCAAAAGACATCAGTGTCGTTGTTATTTCAGCCTGTACTGAACTGTTGGCATTTCCAGTATTTGATGCCCACATAAATAACCGTTATGTAAACTTTTTTTATTTGACAAAAGTATTTGTTGACTAAAGTGATGTTTTTTTTGTAGTTGATGGTTAATCAGAATAATTGTTAGCAGCATAGTGGTTTTGTGGTAATTCTTACCAAAAGACTTTATTTTGAACAATAAGATATATAATTATATTAATGTTAAATATATTAAACATATGTTTAAAAAAGTTGAAATTGCCAAGTAAAATGTAATACTAAAACTAAACTAAAACTGGTAATCGTTATGATGAATGATTGCTTTTAAATGTTGGATTTTATAAGTTGAAGATGTGTTCATATTATTTTGCGTATTATGCATGCATATCATTCATTCAGCCTTTTTTGTTATTATTTGTTATGCTCCCTATTATGATTTTTACTCTAGTAGGTGTCTCATGACCGACAGATCTACACTACAGTCTGTTTCATTCTCAATCCTTTGCTCTGTTCGACCAGCACGATCTGGAGGGACGGCGCCAACCCTTCATCACCCAACTACATCGATGAGCAGCACCCCAATGCTTCGTCGACCCCCGTCCACCTGGCAGTCATCGTCACACCGACCAGTGCTTACTACATTATCTACATCTACGTGGCCACATCGGAGAGCGTGCTGGCTTTGGGATTCTTCAGGGGTCTCCCACTAGTGCACACATTACTCACTGTGTCCAAAAGACTGCATGAACAGATGCTTAGCGCTGTAATACGAGCACCCATGGCTATGCTCAATACTATGAAGACAGGTGATTGTCTTAGTTTTTCTTAACGCTGATTCTGTTTTGTCTGAAGAACTAGCCGAAAATGCAAATGTCGTAAATGTCATGGTACAATATCCTTGCATTCACCTGGTTACTTTTTTTTCTACTTGTAGAACCACATCTGTTTATCCATATTGAATGCCACATTGGCATACTCATTCACTTCAATGCTAGAGTTTTTCCTAATTTCTTCCAGGCCGCATCATGAACAGATTTACTAAGGACATGGCCACCATAGATGACATGCTGCCTCTGGTGCTGTTTGACCTCATACAGGTATTTAACCAACACAGTGGAAAACGTAACACAGTATGCAATATATCCCTCAATTTAACAGGCATTCAGTATCTGACCAACATCAGAGCATGCAAAATACAACAATGCAATGTAACGTAGTATTACAAAGGAATAATAATAGTCAGTATGAATGGCGGTTCATTCAGTAGAGCTACGTCATGCATCTTTATTAACACTGACCCACCTCTGCTGCAAACATCATGTGGCGCAACTTTTATCAATCTATTATTAAAGGACCAGTGTGTAGGATTTAGTGGCATCTGATTCCTGTTACCTACACTCATTAAGTACGGGTCCACAGCCCCAAATGATACACATTCTGTCCACAGCCCACTGTGTATCATTTTGGGGTCCTCGACACCAAAAAGGTTGAGAACCACTGAAATGCATCCTAGGTAGTACACCTGTCCAAGAGATATAATGCAAACTCCACAACAGTATTGAAGTTCCTGAATCCCTTCAGTTCCTCAAATGTTGCACTGATGTTCACTCAGGTTTTAAAGGAAAGAAACAAATCTAGTAATTCAATGTTTTTAGTGGGACTTTACACATGTAATAATGTAAGTACAAACGCTAGTTCTGATTCTCCTCTTTTTTTTTCTCCTCACACCAGCTTACATTGATTGTTACGGGGGCCATCTTCACTGTGTCAATCATGCGGCCTTACATCTTCCTCGCTGCCATCCCATTGGCTATCATCTTTGTTGTCCTCAGAAAGTATTTCTTACGAACTGGACAGCAACTCAAGCTACTGGAGGCTGAAGGTGAGAGTCGGGGAGAAATGATGTATGTGTGACATTGCATTATTATTGTAGGAATAGTGCAATGCTGTTTTGTTGTTGTGAAGAGAAATAACATAATAATAAGTACCAGAAAGGACAAGCAAAGAAAATTTAAATGTAAAAATCTGCTGCCACTTGATGGATATATTTAATTAAATGTAGCAAATGCCTTCTTAAATTTCAAATATAGATTAGGATTGTCACTTAAATTGCATTCTGAAACCATTCAGATATATTTTATAATATACCTATGTACATAAGGTGAGTACTACAGAATGTTTTCTTTGTAAATGTAAAAATCTAAATGCTTTCTTGTAATACTATGCAATAGAAGTTTATTGTGCATTGTGGATAAAATATAACCTATAAAATATATCCATTTTGCTGAAGTATTCTTGAATAGCAGGTTATATTTTACATTTCTTTTATTTGACGATTTAATGTGTGAGGACGAGAGGCACAGAAGAAATCTTCAAGAGTTAAAATATTCAGGAGTAAAAGTGAGAACATGATAGGAAAACCAACAGAGCGAACAGAGGAAGCGGGACTTTGGGACAGATGTTGCAGTCATCATAACTGCCCGCCAGCAGGCAGAGCTGGTGGATGGCGCAGGGCCAAGGGGGGCAAAGGTTAGGCTGGATAACAAAAACATGACAGAGGAAGGGTTGAATGAGAGGATGGATGGGCTGCCGCAGAGGGGCGGGAACAGTTAAAGGAAGTGAAGCAGGGTGAATAACATAACTGTGATCCTTCAATTAGCTAAGAGTTTGATATCCATGTGAAAGGAATTTAGACATTTCTAAAAGCTTTTAAGTGTTTAGGCATCAGTGACCACATGACATCATGGGGTTTGTAGGGGTATATTTGCAGGACAATCTCTAAAACTACAATACTCCCCAAGTAGGAGTCCTGTTATCAGTGGTGTGTTGCAGGAATGGTTTGTCTGCTGAAATTGCTCTGCTAGTGATGAGTAAGGGGGCATGGAAGCTGCTTTGACCAGTTTTCCTACAGTTTAAACCACCAAAACCTCCCCTTGATTCAGAGCAGCCAGCAGGTAGCCAGCACTGCAGTGCGGTTCTGCACAACCAAAGGATGAGAAAACAGGTGTACTGCTGACTGAAGTTTTTATTGAGTTTTCGCAGAGATAAAAAGAGAACAACACAATAAAATAATACAATAAGAAATAGCAATAAACTCCTCTCCTTAATTTGTATTTTTCTACAACAACAGTCCACATTTCTAGTGTGAATGCTGCTCTGCTACTGTGACTTCCCTGTTCTGCTCGCAACTCTGTGGCATTAATGTGTGTTTTGGTGATGATGCCGGGGTCTTTCCGGAGCCGCTGAAAGCATGACGGGGTCAGACAGAAGAGCTGAGCTGGGATTTCCTCCAACCCCATCCTGGTATCACAAGCAGCATGTCAGATAAAATAAAGTGGAAATTATGTGAAGTAGTCACTCAAATGTTTATTTGAATGTTTCTGCTTTTTGGCAGCATTGTTTTATTTACACTACTGAAAGAAATGTGTGCCCCAAAAGGATTTAGAAAATAACGTGACTACAACTGCCAAATCTGTTAGTCAGTTAGAAGTGAAAAAGTCAATATATCGAAGGTGGAAACGATTAATCGATTATCAAAATAGTTAACTACTTGTTTCAGCTCTACCCATGACTTCACACAACTGTAGAATGAATGAGTCAGCACTGTACCTTGATAGTGTTTGTGTTCTCTGCTCACTAAGCCACATGCAGAGTTTTATCTCTTCATAAGCAGCTTTTTTCTGGCCATTGACCACTCTTCTTAATCACTTCTTTTCATCTGTTGTCTGCCTTTTTTTCCTTTCAAATCTCCATGACTATTTAGGCAATATTTACTATTTGTTTGGTGTACTGTCCCTTTTTCCCATCTTACACTGGTAGGCCTCCAAATTCCTATAGCTCTTGCTTTTACCTCTTATCACTTGCTTATTATTGATCACCAATTACTGATCATTTTAGCTTAAAACTGTGTGCACTCAAACCTTAGAAAACTTGTAAGATCATGTGTCCCTTCTCCTCACCTGCAGCTCGCAGCCCAATCTTCTCCCACCTCATCATCTCGCTGAAGGGTTTATGGACAATTCGGGCATTTGGGCGTCAGACCTACTTTGAGACACTGTTTCACAAGGCGCTGAACACTCACACAGCCACCTGGTTCCACTACCTGGCCACACTGCGATGGTTCCTCTTCCGCTGTGACATGATCTTTGTCCTGTTCTTCACCGCCGCTGCCTTCATCGCCGTGGGAACCAACCGTGAGTGACAGGGTGACTGTGGGTAGACAGATGGCGTTATGCACATATGAATTAATGATGGATTACAGGATTCCCAGGCGATAAACAGGCTTGTTTAATACCTTGAGCACAGCATACAAGGTTCATACAGTAAGTTGAGGATTGAGAAAAACTGTAGCCAATTAACACAGTATGCTATAACTGTGTTATTTGGCTACAGTTTTTCTCCATCGATTTCATACGACAAAGGTGATATGTGCTCCAAATTTGGTGAAACTGAGAAAACTGCATGAGGTCATTCTGTGAGTGGACCCTTTAAGAGAATGAGAGCAGCAGCAGTAGTTTGTACACATAAATCCCAGGAAGGGCGAAGGAACTTCTTGAAATTCCAGTAAGTTAGTTAGTTAGTAAACACCGTAGTATTTTCCACCGGGCCTATCAAGTGAAGAAGCTTCAGTCTTATCTGTGTGTTACAGTGTGTAGAGTCAGATATCAGGATCATAACAGACAGTTTGTCTGTGAAAACTGTTCGAATGCCACTGGATAAAATGTCATGTACAAAAGGAAGTGTGTGTTCGATTAAACAAATGGGAAACACAAGGACATACACACGTACACACAAACAAACACGTGTTGTTGTATTATACCCTGTGTTTATGTTTTGAGCAGATTAAAGGGTCATTTCATGTCTCATTAGTTTCCAATAGAGCCAGTAGCAGAGATGCAATACCTGAGTGCTGGTCTGACATCAGAGAGAGCAGCCTTGATTGGACAATATAAATGACTGTGTGTGTGTGTGTGTGTGTGTGTGTGTGTGTGTGTGTGCGTGTGTGTGTGCACTCTACAGAGGACAAACCAGGAGAGGTTGGCATCATCGTGGCCCTAGCCATGCTCATTCTGGGGACTTTCCAATGGGCTGTCATCACCAGCATCACTGTAGATGGACTGGTATGTGATCCACACACACTAAAATCTGTCATGGTTTGCATCACATCAACACCTGAACTGCATTAAAATACCACACAACCAATGGCCAGTCGAGAGTGTATCACAAACCCACATGTATGAGTTGTTGTGTTTTTGAACACTTGGGTCAGCAACCAGATCTCTGCAGCGAAGGGATTTCTGCTCATCTGGTGTTCAACCTTCCTAAATTTTCCCACACCTCTCCACCTCACCATTCATTACACCAACTCCCTATTCTTCAAAACATGGACCTACATTCTGGACGATTGGCTGCCCTGTCACAAAGAGGAGGTGATTGTGGTCAATCCTCTTGGTTGACATGTGTTTTTTTTTTTATACAATATGGAGACCCAATCCCCTGCCCCCGTGGAAGGATACAGCCAGACATGTGCTACCTCAGGGATACAGGATGTCACCAGCTGCCAACACTACTATTCAACAGCCAAAAATATGATTCACCAGGAGGGTATAACATGTGGGAGGATCAAGCTTGAATCAGTTTGTACCCACCCAGCCGTTGTTTTCACCCACATTTTGGTTAGTGGAACTGACGGAGCTTATCACCGTGCAGAACATCTTGTTCAGTATGCACACATACACACACACGTGCACACACATTCACACAAGTGTGTTTTTGGGGGAGTTGGCAACGTTCTTCACAGTGTTACTGATTCTAATGTAAGAAAAAACTCATAACAGTGACTCCCTCTGAATAACATGGTCAGTGGTAGTAAGGGAAGCTACTAAAATGTCTCTCAAGCACGAGTGTGTTTAGTTTGCTTTTGCTTAAATATGGTCTGAGTAACAAAACCATTTATCTCCAAAGAGACAACAACCCTGTTTTCAGCTTTATGAGAGTGTACATTTCACAAATTTAATTTAATTTAAAATAGTTTTTTTTTTTTAGCTTAATAAGTAGGAACCATTCTCAAACCTTTAAGAACACTTTATACTTTAGTTTATCATGAAAATAAAAAATCACAAAATTTAAAGATGAATGGTTGGATGCCATAGAATAATGGGAAATGAATTCAAACTAGGTTCATGCTGTTAAGTACAATATTTCAGTCAAAACAAAAAGGAATATCACTGTATTTACTCACTTCTAAAACGTGTACAACAGGATGTGATTAATTCTACGGTTAAACACCAGGAGCAGCGGTGGTCTACAGTTATAGAAAAGCTGCCTCAACAGCTCAATGAAGAACAACTGTACATACAGGTAACAGGGTGCCCCGGTAGCTCACAGGTAGAGCCTGTACCATGTGGTAAGACTGAGGTCCAGATATGAGTCCAGCCTGAAAATTTGTGCTGCATGTCATCCCCTCTCTCTCCCCTGCCTTTCCTGTCAATCATTGGTGGTCTTATCTGATAAAAAGCATACATTATAAGTGTATATATGTATACACTGATCAGCCATAACATTATGACCACCTGGGTACCCCCCCTGATATATCCCATCCTCTGACAGGTGCCATGATAACCAGATAATCAGTGTTATTCACTGCACCAGTCAGTGCTCATAATGTTATGGCTGATCTGTGTATATGTGTGTATATATAAATGTAGTATATATATATGTATATATACTGGCTACTCCCAGTGACCTATGGCATGCCTCACCCTCTCAATCTATTTCTCTCTCTCTTCCCCCTTCTCCTCCTCTCAGATGCGTTCGGTAGATCGAGTGTTTAAGTTCATCGACTTGCCAACAGAGGAGCCGATGCCAGGGAAATCCGGTGGTAAAGGAGGCCCCGACCTCGTCATCGACAACCCTCATGCCCAAGACTATTGGCCCAACCGCGGTCAGATGGACGTCCAGGGCCTCACTGTGAAATACACAGAGGCTGGACGTGCTGTCCTCAATGACATCTCCTTCTCTGTGGATGGTGGTCAGAGCGTAAGTACTGAGGGATGGGTAAAGGGTGTTTGTGTGTGTGTGTGTGTGTGTGTGTGTATGACTGGATTTTAATGAAACTTTGCAGAGTAATGTATGTTAGCTCTCCTTTATTTGATTTTAAAACATCAAAACACTAATTAGTCCAAGAGGGGCGATTTAAAGGGTAGGGTAGGATCAGAAAGGTTATAACAAGGTGTTTTATAGCCAGCAGGAAGGCTGTGTAACATTTGTGGTTACTTGTCAGCTACTTTTAGCTCATTGTTTTGATTTTCTGGCTGCAATTACACTGTTTTTTTTAGTCTCACCACACTCATCGGTGTCATTTCTAGATGCAGCCGTTAGCTGTTTTCAGTAAAGGAGTGATTGATGGCTTACAAGCAGCAAAACGACAGACAAAGATAGTGACTATCTGGTGAAGAAAGGAGTTGTGAATATTATTCTTATCAAAATTTGAATAGACAAAATGTAATTCCCCTCTGGGGCTAAAGAACAAACAAAAGGCAACCAGGCGGGCGCCCGGTTAGCTCAGTCGGTAGAGCTGGCGACCCATGTACGGAGCTGCTGCAGCAGCCCAGGGTTCAAGTCCAACCTGCGACCCTTTGCTGCGTGTCACCCCCAGTCTGTCTACCCACCCTTCCTGTCTATCTTCAGCTGTCTCTATCAAATAAAGGCAATGAAAGGCCAAAAATAACTTAAAAGAAAAAATACAGAATGTTTGAAATAATGGAAACATTAGTGACAAACAAGTTCTTGCTTACCGAAAACACTTCCCATTTTTTATTATTATTTCAACTCACATTCATATCTGTAATATTTCCCTTGTATCTCGATTTCAAATGCTATTTAGTTAGGGCAGAGGAACTCAGGCAGTAGTGGCCAAATAGCTTTCAGTGGAAAGAGACAAAACATGTAATATGTGACCGTTCTCTCTCTCTATGCTCCTGGCAGTAATTATAGTCAGTATGAGCTCCGCATAATGAATCCTGGAGGACAGCAGAGCTCAGTCAGTGTCAGCACTTTCGCCGCGTCCCATTTGCTTCTCTATGGCCTCCTGATAAATGGACTAATTGTTGCTGCGAGGCTGCATAAGAAAGGTTGGAGAGCTTTTAGACTAGTTCATTTTACAGTGTCATGATGAGTACACTTTACTTGCATCAATATGAACTGAAGTTTTTTTTAGCTGAAAAGTTAGAAGTGCATTAAAAGCGGATTAAAATGTTTCTGTTCCGTGTGTGTGTGTGTGTGTGTGTGTGTGTGTGTGTGCAGATTGGTCTGCTGGGTCGAACAGGTTCAGGGAAGAGCACCCTGCTCTCCGCTCTGCTGCGTCTTGCCTCCACTGACGGAGAAATCTCCATTGATGGAGTCTCCTGGAGCTCTGTCTCCCTGCACACGTGGAGGAAGGCCTTTGGAGTGGTTCCACAGGTACGTCTATGGCTGCTGAGCTGCCTTTCAACAAGACATATGGCTATATATGGCTGCTGGCTCATATTCAAATACTGTTTTAAAATGACTTGGGTGAAGTTGAATGAGAAACACATTTAAAAAAAGCTGATATCAGTAGAATGACAATATGGAAGTGCAGCCAGGAAGGTAAGAAAGTCTTTTAAATTGATTTATGTAACTTCTGCCCAACATGAATGACTTCTAATACACTCCATTCATACTGTTCACATTTGGAAACCTAGAGAGTAGTTGATAAATATAGTGCCTACTGCAACATTATATTTCCTGTGGTATTCACTTCCTCACACCACCTTAAATAGCCAAAGACTTGTAACCTGTTACACTGGCAGATGAGAGGTATTTGTAACTGTAACCATTGCAACTGATCCAAATGATTATTATTATGAGAATTTTGTAATCCAGCCTCCTTGACTATGTGATTTAAATGTTTTCTCTGGTTTGTGTTTGAACAGAGAGTCTTTATTCTGACCGGCACTTTCCGGATGAACCTGGACCCACACGGACGTTACAGTGATGAGGAGCTGTGGAGGGTAGCTGAGGAGGTGAGGCCCTCTTTTCTCTTGTCCTCTGCTGTGATGTGATTGAATCGTACATGCAGAGGAAAGTCTGTTCTAACAGTTCTACAGACAGATGTTTAATCAATCAAGTAGTTGTGAGTCTGGGGAGTTTCTAGATACGGTTTGCATTGGATTTTCTTCTCACGTTAGTAGAAAAAAATAAAGGTCCAGTGTGTAACATTTAGGAGTACAATCATACTGAGTGTGTTTTCGTAACCTTAGAATGAGCTGTTTCTATCCACCATGTTGATTGGACACACCAAACCTTTAGCATTTTTTGCAGCCACCCTAGTTTCTCTTTCACGCTTGGAAGGCTGAGCTGTATTCAGATGGTTGCAATCTGCAACTTCACCACTGGATGCCACTAAATCCTACACACTGCTCCTTCAATAGCACATTCCCTTTCAGAAATGTTGCTTTGTGAGTGAACCTAACCCCTGAGATGAAAACACAAATCCAGGATGGTCAGGGGAGTGAATTCTAAAGTCAGATCTGTCCTGTGTGTCCTCAGGTGGGTTTGAAGTCGGTGATCGAGCAGTTTCCAGACAAGCTGGACTTTCAGCTGGAGGATGGAGGCAACGTGTTGAGCAACGGACACAAACAACTGCTGTGTCTCGCCCGCTCCATCCTCAGCAAGGCACGCATCCTGCTGCTGGACGAACCCTCCGCCTACCTCGACCCCATGTTAGTATTAACGCCAAAACGCTCTAATCCGTGTGTGTGTGTGTGTGTGTGTGTGTGTGTGTGTGTGTGTTTGGGTGTGTGGAATCTGAAAAAAATAAAACAGTTTTCAGCAAAAAAAAAAAAATAGAGGAAAGATGCTTAGTTTGTTTGTGGCCACCTATTTAAAAATGTAAATACAAGAATCAGAATATTATATCAAACACATGGTAATGGCATTTAAATGTTTTAGAATATTTAAGATTTTACAAGATGAACCTGCAGACAGGCTGAAACAGACAGGGGCTTTGCATACACTTTAGATCTACTCATCCCGTCGGCCTGCGTTACTGTAGTCTCTTTTTTTTTATATTTCTTTTGCTCCTTGTGTGCTTTTGCGTAATGTGTTTGTGTAATGTCCTTACTGTACACTTAAACACAGCTGATGCTGAAGCTGATCCAGGGCTTGTATCCATTTCCTCTGTGTGTCTGTGTGTGTGTGTGTGTGTGTGTGTGTGTGTGTGTGTGTGTGTGTTTGTGGCATCCTGAGGTCACGGTGCAGCAGAAGTCACCCAAATCCAACATGGGTGGTGCTCCTGTCACTGCATATGGTGACAATCTCAAGTGCTTACAGTAATTCTGACTGTACGTGGTAGTGTGTGTGTGTGTGGGTGTGTGTGTATGTGTGTGTGTAGATGGTAAATGAAGCCTGTAATGAGCGATCTAGGTCAACCTGAGGCCAGCGCTGCCTGTTCTTTCATGTGGGCCTCAGCAGGAACAGAACGCTGAGCTAATGTGTTAGCAGTAGAGAGAGACGGCCTTTGATGATGATGATGATGATGATGATTGTGGTGTGTGTGTGTGTGTGTGTGTGTGTGTGTGAGCAGAACGTTACAGGTCCTGAGGAAGACGCTGAAGCAGTCGTTCTCTGACTGCACCGTCATCCTATCAGAGCACAGAGTGGAGCCGCTGCTGGAGTGTCAGTCATTCCTGGTAAGTTTTGGATTTAAGTTGGATTTTACATTTAAAGCTCAGGTGTTGTAGAACCTGCTACAAAGAGTTTAACTGGCTATGAAACAGTCTAAATTCAACCAAGAAGAACAGGTCAGATTCCCCTTGAAATCAATGAAACGAGAGTTGTTGTTGCTGTTATGAAGTGACAGGAGATTAAGCCCCTTTCTTTTGTGCTGGCTGTGGGCGTGTGGGTCTGCACGTGTGTGTTGGAGTGGTTGTCTGCATGTTAGCAATGGGGGTCTGTTTGTGGAACAAGCTGTTGCCGTGACGGACAAAAAAATGATAGAATTTTCCAGATATTTTAAAGCACTCAAATCTCCTGTTACCTTTAAAAGACCAATTTATTCACACAAAACCTGGAAAATAATTTATTTTACAAAATGAATTCCCTGCAAAATGTCCATCTCAATCAGCTTTATTTTTAAAAAACTTAGAAACATCATATTTTGCAAGAAGACACAACATTAGAGGCCCAGATAAACTCGCATCCTCTCCTCCCTGTCTGTGCAGATGATTGAAGGCAGCTCCATGAAAAGTTACGACTCCATCCAGAAGCTGCTGAACGAGACAAGTCATCTGAAACAGGCCATGAGCCCCGCTGACCGGCTCCGCCTCTTCCCAACACTGCACCGCCTCAACTCTAGCAAGAGGGCGCCGCCGCAGACCGCCAAGATCTCGTCCCTGCCAGAGGAAGCTGAGGATGAAGTCCACGACACTCGCCTCTAACCGGCCAGACACACACACACACACACACACGCACCTCTAACTCTAATGGACAAAAAGGAGGGTTTGACCCAGTGTTTTGATACTGAGTGTTCAGTAGTTTTACGTTTTTGAGCAGTTATTCCCTCAAATTAAAAGTGAGACAGCATCTCAGTCACTGTGGGACACTAAAACCCTCAACCGGTACCCAGACAAATTATTTTATATAACTGTAGGAAAACTCACTTCACACTGAATAATTAGAGAATAAAATCAAAAAGTAAATGTGAGAAAATTTTCATCATATTGACATCAAACAAAATTGACTTGTTTATTCTTGATTTTAAGTAAACAAACACCAATGTATATATTTAACCCTCATATGCATACATGTAACACGTACAGTAAAAACACAGCAAAGAGCCGTCCACTGACATGCATTTCACTGTCTCACAATGATGCTGATGTATGGAGCTCATTTATTGGTGGGAATATACACGAAAAGAAGTGGTAGAGGAAGTCTTGCACACAATAAATTAAATTCTAGATGGATTTAAACAATGTACAGGGAAGAATGAGGGCTGAGGTTACAGAAGTAGAACTTCAAATTACAAGTGTGCAACACTACATCTTGAATGTTGACCAACACAGTACAACATAGCTGCAAGTTTAGAAAAGATATTAGTAAAAACAAAAATCTGCAGGTACCAAAATTGAAACGTTTGTTCTGTGTGTCACTAAATTAGTATGAAAGATAAACTCCTCCATGTAACATGGACCACCTGGGAGCAGAGCCAGATAGAAAAAAGAAGTAAATGTGGTGTGTAAATTAAGCACATAATAACTTCTGCAAAATCTATGCTTCAGTCTGACTGACTGGACACTTTTTTTTAACCATTTGAGTGCCTTTGCAGGTTTCAGTCAGTCAGTTTGCCCTGCAACAAAAAAAAAAAAAGTTTTTGCTCTGAAAATGCAGAAACTGTTTAAATAAAAATGTAATTGACTTGAATTAATGGATTACTTTCTGTTCTGACTAGTGAACAACCAGCCTTTCGTTTGTTTTAACTCAGACTGAACACAGAATAGCAGCCACTGTAGAAATCTGACTCGCTGTATGTATCTTGCATCCGGGAGTGATCAGATTGGAGCTTCCTTCTCCTGTAATTACAATGTGTAACTCAGCAGTGTGAGCAAACAGACAGTAAGGACTTCACAGCACAACATTAACCCATCGTATGCACATAATCCAATCAGCTTCAGGTAGCTAGCAGGAACCCTTCGTGTTTGTTAGTGTTGCTTCTGCTCTGGGGGTGCTTCACAATCCTGCCGGCAGACATCCCATCGTCTACATGTTATGAACTGTAAAGGTTATTATCTAGATATATAATGATCAATCAAGGCACCCAGCTTCACTGTTTGCTGGCAATAAATAAAAATATAGTGCTGCTTTATTCTTAAATGCTGCTTGTGGAGGCTTGTTGAAAACCATTTTTTTTCCGATTGACTTTGTGATATTAAGCAGCCTGGTGAGCAGTCAGTCCAGCCACTGGCGATTCAAACAGCTGCAGCATATGTTAGAATCAGCGTACACTGAATGGATGGATGCATCAGTAGTGCTTAATTACCGCTGACTGTCTTGCTTCTGATGTGAATTCCCAGTCAAACCTCGGCTCAGTTTGAATAAATCTCACATTTTAGTGTGGACGAGGAAAACAAAGCTCCTCCAGCACTTTCATGTTAAGAGAACTACTTTCTTGTGGCTCAATGAATCATTGCTGCAATCATTTCAGCGATACAGACGTTATACCTTATTTAATGTTATCACACAACAAGTATTTGATTAATGTCGCTGTTGTGAACAGAAAGCATTAATGAGCAAAGGACAAATATCACCGTTTATATAACAGAATAATTCACTATATAGTAACACTACTGCTGCTAACACACAGTTTAAGCACTCTGTTTGTATACAGGCTGTTGTATGTACAAACTGTACGTAATAGGCTGGAAAGAGACAAAAAAAAAAAGGAAAAATCTGAATATCCTACAGATAAAGAGAGATCAGAGCTCTGTGAAACACTTGTAGAGAATCAAAGGAAACTGCAGCTCAGAGTCTTCTACAGTGGCTTCGAAAATCTTCTGAATGTTTGCTTTAGTATCTTTGGTTAGTCAGCATAAGCCTGCAGTAACTTCACACACACACACACACACACCAAAGGTGACGCTGTTCTCTCCGACTCTTCTGACGAGTGTTGACTCAGATACCCTTATTTTTCTATCTGAATGCACTTTAGAGACACCCTGAGGTACTCATCAGCTTCCACAGCAAACAGTCAGATGATTAAACGCTTTTCAATTCCTCCATAAAATGAAGTGTAGATGTAGAATTGTGACCTTTGATAACAAATTATTCTTTTTACTTTCATTTTTCAGCCTCTGTTGCTTGATGAATTACAGAGAGGAGCCAGTCATTCATCCAAGAAACAAACATTTTCTATGTGAAATAAAGTATATTTTTTCAGAGCCTGTGCTGTACAAACGCAAACATTAAGCATTTCTTTTTTTTTTTTATCATTTTCCAAGTTCTATCTGTACTTTCCTCGGAAACTGGAAAGCATTTTGACTCTTCTAACGTCTTTATTTTCTTTGGTTGAGGGAAGAGTGCGTTGCTCCTATCTTTCTGAATAAGAGTTTTGTAAAGCAGTGATGCAGAAAATGAAGGTACCATGGAGAAATGCCTTGATGTGTTAACTGTGACCAATGAGAGTTTTTTTATTACAAAGTAAATTAAGAAAAAAGCTGTTTCTTACTCATAGGAAAAAGGGACACAGATGTCCAAAACATGTATAAATGTATTTGTTCAATCAACTATATTTCCAGTAAAAATAAGATTTTGAGAATTTTCAGTGTGGTTGTGTCATTTTTGTTAAAAGCTGACGAATTGTGTTGTAGGGAATTTGTTAAATTGTTTTTGGTGTGACGTAAAAGTTGCATGAATTCTAATACTACTGTTCACGCTGACGTCACATTGCAATCAGACCTGTATTTAGACCACATATGTAAGTGTCCCAAATCAGAATGGAAAAGATCTGATTCCATGTGAAAAACAGATCTGAGTCACAAACAAAATAATCAGATCTGGGTCCCTGAGTGCCTGCAGTGTGGACGTAATGAGGTCTGATTCGCAGTCAGTATTCCAGGTCAGTCTGTGCAGGCCACTCAAATTATTACTCACCAAACTGGGACCACAATACATTTATATGCGAAACAATGATCTGAACATTAGAACAGACTTACTTTAACTGGGACTGGGTGCTAAAGACAATACTATAAAAAGATCCAAAATGTGTGCACACAAGATTAATATTTTGGTACTTTGGGGGCTCTGTAAGGCCCTGTGTTTCATTAAAAATGAAAAATGGAGAATAAAATAACAGAAAAAGTCCGGTGGGGATTTTTAACAGTGCCATTTTAATGTTTGTGCTTGAAAGACAATTCTTTAAACCTCAAACAGCTATCGTACAGATCAAAATCATAGCTTGACTAAAATCTCTCCTGTACATATGTATAGATTTATTTTTTATTCATGATTTTATATATAAACAGTGTCCCCTTAAAATAAAACTTAAAAGTAAAAACATACGAAGAACACAGTGATAATGGAAAGCAAAACAGAAAGTCTGAATTACACTGTAGGGCTCAGCGAGGGTTAAATTGAACATGACTCGGGGGGAAATGATGGGCATTTAAAATATTTATTATGGCTTACAGTTGATTGAGGACATCCTGTGTTTATACAGTTCTATTACTTATTGCCACAACCCCTTCACTTTGAAACAAGTGAAGGGTTCAGAACCAAACTCGTTTTACAAACACTATGTACAAGTTCTTTTTTTTCAGCAGTTTTGCTTTAAGGTTTCGTCACTGTACAAGCGTCATACCACATACACCAATCTATAGAGCATTTAAACTTACTAATTCTTATTTACAAATATATTTGGTAAAACCCTGATTAATTTCAACAGTATTTAAACCAACCTTGCAACTATTTAAAGATAAAACAATTGAATATCTGAAAAATACTTAATAGCAAAAACAAAAAAAAAAAGAAAATTAAAACCTGCTTGTTACTTTCTTTGATCCAAAAACACTTTTCACTAAAAGGTATAATCTGTAAGTACCTTCAGTTACTCTCCAATGGCCTTATACCAGTAGAATTACAGTATTTCACTTTAAGTACACAAAAATACTGTCAGTACTGTTTTGAGGCAGTTTTCACCGGTCAAATACTTTATATATCCTAGTCATAGTCATCATAGTCCTTACACTGTATCCTGTCTACTCAATACTGTCATATAATACGCAGGTTGATACACTGGAATAAGGCAACAGTAAAGTAACCTGCTGCATTACCTTCTGTCGTTTTTACCCAAGTTAAATCTTACCAAACCAAACGATCAAATACTTCAAATACTGTAATAGAATATAACTATGGTCCCCAAGTACACAACTGTAGTACAGTGTAACAAGTACGGATAACAAGTACAAATACTAAGAGTCAAAGGTCGTCAGGTACCTAGTCTTTACATTATGGAGGGAGGTTCACAGCGGAATCATGGGGGGGGGCAGGGGTCTACTTGCTGTTGATGTTATTTTCATGCAGGTCTCTGTGGAGGATCCAGATGTCCTCGTGTGATTGGTTGTTGTCGATGTTGTTGCGGTAGTAGTTGTTGTTGCTGCTGCTGCTGCTGCTGCTGCTGCTGGGGGGGGCCTGCTTTGTTCTGCTGCTGCTGTTGTTGGTGGTGGTTCTGCTGCGGCTGGGGGGCGTCTGGGTTCGACAGGGGCTGCTGCTGCTGCTGCTGCTGCTGCTGCTGTTATTGTTGCTGCTGGTGGCAGCAGTGGAAACTCGTGTCTGCTGCCCCCTGCTGCTGGGGACGGGGAGCTGAGATTTGGCGCGAGGGCCTGAACGCCGGTCGCTGTTCTGGACGGCTGCCTGGCTGGAACTGCGGCTGGACTGACGGACAACAGTCTGCACAAATAAACAGAGAGTTTGGTTGGTCACTTACTGAATTAATTGTTTATAGTTGCTTCGCTACTTTCAGGCTGAAGCACTATGACGCAAACTAACACCTTCAGAGGACAGATTTCAATCATTAGACTGTTTTACACTCTGTTCATGCCGGGGGTTAACACAAAATACAAAGCAAGAAAAACAGTCCGAAATCTAGAAGGATATTCAGTAATAAAGAGAAAAATGTGTGTATGTTCTTCAAGGTCTGTCCATTGGTATTGAAATTATTCAAAGATCTCTTCTTTATTGATAGAATAGCTTTTTTCCAGCAGTTCTGGTGGTGAAGGTCCTGAAAAGGTTTAATGTCAGGATCCAGTCATAGTTGTTCAGAAATGCAAAATAAATGCAGTGCAAATAATTCATACATGAGACCATCAATCTTCTATAACACAGAAACAATGAGCTTAAAGAAGCTAAAAAGGCCCCACAAAGCTGCCGTACACCGACCTTACAGCTACAAGTAAACCTGAAGTAATGACACATGGTACAACAGTACAGTCCTAAAACTCTTAATGCTGAACAGGTCAATTATGTGTGAGGCAACGCCAAACACAGCACAGACACATGATTAAAAGTTGCACAAAACAATCTCACACACACTCATTTTAAATTTGAGTCACTGGTTTGTGGCTCAGTCGGGATGCTTAGTGGAGTGATGATAACAGAGGGTAGAACAAAAAATCATAAAAAATAGTTGCTGCAGGTAAAAATGCACTTAAAAGTAGTATTCTTTAATATATCCCTGTGATTTAATAATGGTGTATGTTTAAATAGCCTTTAACTATTCTGTTGGGTCAACATACACACAGGTTATATACAGTATTATTAGTAGTAGTGATGTATTTGCACTCGTTCTCACCGTCTGTGGTCTCTGCTGGGTGGCGGTTTCCTGCTCGGCCTTGTGGGGGGCCATCGCCTCACTGGGAGAGCTGGAGAACAGGATCAAGTCGTCTTTGGCCCGAGAGATCTGCAGGAGATGAAGGAGAGGGAACGTTAAGCGGCAGGTCAAACCTCGACTGAAGGCAGGTAACAACACGCAGCTTACGCAGCGTGCCTGTTGGCGTGCAGCTGGTCATTATTTTTGCAGTAAATAACCGGGTGGGATGCTGGTGATGAGGAGTCACCTGCATCAGGCTCATGCAGGTGAAGGTCCAAGATTAGCAGGGCTACTTTTTAAAGGTCAATTCTGATACCAGTAATTTAGAGACAAAGCTGTTAAGAGATTGTGTTTTGGGGATAGTTGGTGAGTATTTCTGTGAGGGATCTTTGCGTCTTCGGACACCAAACACTCCACTGAATGTCAGAAACTCAGATTAGACACTTTAGATAACTTATTAAATGGTAGCCAGGTTTTAGAGAGTCACACCCCTGAACCAATACACTAGAATCATTTCTTGTTTAGTAATTTTTAAATCTTAAAAATCAAAAGTCCAATATCTAGTTCTACTCCTCATCTCAAACAGCGCAGGAGCTAGTTTAAGCTGAAGGTCATTACCATGGCAGTGCGGTGCCCCGGACACACCTAGGGTCTCTATATTTGGAAGGATGACAGCGACGAATTAAAGAGTCAGGCATGAGTCAAAACATGTGACCTAAAAGCCCAGTGTTTGGAAATGTCAGTGTAATTAAGACCCATGTGGCTTCTGAACGGCCAAATTGTTTTCTGCGGAGGTTTATTTTGAATTTTCCTGGTTGACAGAAACACACGGTCCTCCAGAGGTCCTTCATTAAAGAGAGCTCATTCTATACCGCTTCAATCTGCTGTACTTCCCAATGTACATTTGTTGTAGCAAACACAAGTATTAGATTAAAGCCCTACAAGGAGTATTCATATTGTGTTGTTTCTGGCGCCCCTTGTGGACAGTGGTAGTGGTTTCTACTGCCCCATTCATTGATTTCAAGGGTAATCGGACCTGTTAGCAGGCATTAAGAATAACTGTATAAACATATCCAGTCTTCCTATTGTTTTTCTTTTTTGTTTAAGTAGTTCATACAGAGGCATCAGAATTAAATTTTGATTTTGTTTCATAACCAGTTTAAAACTCCTTGTAGTAGCTTTAAATAGATTAGTCTATCTAAATGAGTTCACGCTGCTATAAAAGATGGAGAATATTACAAAATGGACTGTCATGTTAGTCTAAACCTGCAAGGGGGGTTATGAATGTATGAGTGGCAGTACCTTGCTGATGTCTGGCTCGGACTTGCTGGAGCACATGGTCTGCAGCTCTCTGATTAAATCAGTCTCATCATCAGAGAACACAGACAGACCAACAGGCTCCCTGAAAGCAGAATGAAACACAATGAAGCGTCATTTTCTAGCTGTTAATACAGGGACATGTCCTATGACAACAAACGAATGCTGCTATTTAACACGCTTATTATTACACACTCATTGGTGCTGTCTGAGTTCTGTTTATGTGACTGAACCAGACACCAGTTTTATGATTGAGACGAGTCTGCTCTCTGCTGTCTTACTGCTGCAGTGCCAGTGCTGCACTGTTGGACCAATACTACTGCTACTACTAATATTGCATAATAATAATAATAATAACAATAATAACACATAGACAGAACACCAACCTCTGATCTTTGTCGTTGGAGATGAAGCTGACATCAGTGCTAGACAGTGAACCTGCAACACAAACATATATGAACCAATTTCAGTTCACTCAAATTACAAAAACATATTTTCACACTTACTCCTACATGAATCTATCCGAGGAAATACTTTTATCCCCATACAGTGAAGGTGAATGGAATTTTGTTTGCTGTACATACAGCATTAGTCTATTACATTTAAAAATAACTAAACAGCCTATTAAACACCGC